CAAATATTGGCCACTCTGTCATGCCGGGTTTTATATTCAGTGGGTGCCAATATCGTGCAACCTGATACAATATGATCAATTGTTTCTGGATATTTATCACAGAATCTGCATTTTGGGCTGACTCAATATTTTAGTATATGTGCTTGATAATTCCTAGTTAGTAAGCATTGGTCCTATTACTATTATTATTATCATTATTATTTTGTCTGAGTATTAATATTACATATGCATTTTAAATTATATTCTATTTGGGCAAAAAAGGAATTTTGGACAGTTTATCAGCAAAAAAGGAACTTTGGACAGTTTATCAGCAAATTTGATTCTGATGTACATCTTATTCAAAAAATGAAAAATATACAAAAAAAAAGACATACTTTATCGGTTAAATTTGATATGAATATATACTTTACAAATAATTCCTGGGTATGACAATAAACTACATCCGGCAGCAAGTCAACTGATCGGGAGATTGGAGATTTTAAGGAGATTGGAACCATCTCTTAATTGCTGCTGTCCCCAGGTCCACCCTAACCCCGAGTGGTAGCAACTGTTAGGGTCCCAGCCATGGGTAAAGAATGAACCCCCTAACAAAAACAAAATACATTGAAAGTATAAAAATCCATTTTTATAGTAAAAATACCAGCAATACATTTTTATATAAAAAAGAAATTAATAGCAATACATTTTATCTGTAGTCAAAAGCATACAATTGTATTCAAAATATTTACATTTCTGCATTAACCCATAGAGGCTGATATGTTACGAGACCAAATAACCAACATGAAAAAAATCTTTCATGACATAAATCTATATAATATACTATAATTTCTTGAAACAAACACTATTCCAAAATATAACTTCAACAAACCTAGAACCTAAAACACACGTATCATCGCCTGTAGTAATTATATCCACACAAACATGTATCAGGTCATCCCATACGTTCTGTCCGAATTTTGAATAAAGAAAACAAGTGACCAAATGTTACATTTAATTACAGATTCAATCAACAATGTATTTTCCCTGATTATCTATGACTTCCTTCCATCTATTAACAAGCTTACTAATTCCATTACTGTAAAACTCTTTAGGCTTTGATTCGAAGAACTCACAAATATCAGTTTTAAACTCTTCCTGTGTTACAAAATCTGTTTCTTTCAAATGATTCTGTAAGCTACGAAACAAATGGTAGTCTGAAGGAGCAAGATCGGGAGAATAAGGTGGTTGAGGAATTTTCTCCTAACCAAGTTCTTCGATCTTTTATGACGTGATTCTTGCTGTGTCGGGTCGCGCATTGTCCTGATGAAACATCATCCCTTTTCGATTCACTAGAGCAGGTCTTTTTTTTCCTCAAAGCTTGGTTCAAACGCTCTAATTACTGAGAGTATATTTGAGCAGTAATTGTTGCATTAATTAGGTGGTAAGAATTCAAAGTGGATTATTCTCTGGCGATCCCACCAGATTGAAAGAAGAATCTTTTGCAAATGAAGTTCCTTTCTCGGCTGTGGCTGGGGTCCTTCCCCTTTACCAAGCCAGTGTACGACGCATAACATTTCGATAAAAGATCCATTTTTCGTCGCCAGTCACAAGTCTATCCAAAAAAAGGTGAAACAAGTTAGCGAGAATGGAGAGAAGAGCAGATGTCAACTCGGGATTTGAGGTTGTTTTCAGACAATTCATGAGGCACCCATTTTCCAAGTTTAGGAACTTTTCCAAGTTGTTGAAGATGACAATGAACAGTTGTATGGTTTGAACTGAGAACCACTGGCAATTCCTCAACTGATAAAGCAGGATTTTCTTCAAGGGCTGCTTCAAGAAGCTTTTCATCAAACTCAACTGGACGTCTGGTTCGATCTTCATCTTCAAGGGTAAAATCTCCACCTCTGAATTTTGCAAATCATCTACTGCAAGTTCTTTCATTCACATATTCCTCTCCATAAACTGAGTGAATGTTTCTAGCCGCTTCGGCTGCTGAGTTTCCTTTCTTGAACTCATAAAGCCTTATGTGCCTCAAATGATTCTTGGGTACTTCCATGTTAGCAGGGTTTTAATGAAACAAAATTTAATTTTATTGTTCTCTGAAATAAAATTTGATCAGTTTAAATGCATCTAAACATAAAAATAATGTTCAGCTCCATTAGACATTATAAAATACTCTTTAAATTTCGTTCATTTTAACAAAAAGTTAAAATTCGGACAAAACATATGGGATGACCTGATATATGCACAAAAGCTGAGTATCATTTACCATGTATTCAACTGTGAAAGCAGAATAAAAATTTTATTACTTCAAAGCTACTAAGAAAATTAAATTTCTATGGCAACAAGAGCTCCTTGAAGCCACGCCTTTTCAGATGTCATTCATCCAACCAAAAATGACGTCTTCTTGGAGAAAGCGAGAAATGTGAAAGATAATTATTTGTCTGAAATAGCGGAATAAAAAAAATATGGAAGGAAGAGTCTAAGAATCTCAACAGTGGCGATTGGAATTCAGCTTCAGATTTTTTCTTCATTCTCCATTTTGTTTCCGTCTTTATTTTTCTCGCATCACGTGAATGGTGTTTTCAGCCAAATCTTATTTATTCTTTCTATCTATCTATCTATCTATCTATCTATCTATCTATCTCAGTCTGTTCATATTTATCTATCTATCTATCTATCTACTTATTTATTCCTTTTGCATCTTTTTCCTTTTCCCTCTTCTTTCCTCTCTCTCTCTCTCTCTCTCTCTCTCTCTCTTTCTCTGCTTCCTTCTTTTTTAAGAGACACTTTCTTTCTTTATCCTCCTTATTTATTTATTTTTTTCTTTCTTTCTCGTCTGTGTTTTATTTGTTCATACGTCTGTTTGTTTGTTTCTTTCTTTCTTTCTCATGTCTCTTCTTTATTCAAACTCTTTCTTTTCTGTTTATCACTTTCTTTCTTTCTTTCTTTCTCTTCTTTCTTTCTTTCTTTCTTTCTTCTGTTCATTTCTTTTACTTATTTTATTTCTTTCTCCTACATCTTTCTTTTCTTTTCTTTTCTTTTCTTTCTTTCCCGTCTGTCTTATTTGTTCATTCTTTTTCTTTTTCGTTTAGCCTTGTTTATATTATTTTCTTTCTTTCTTTCTTTCTTTCTTTCTTTCTTTCTTTCTTTTTTTCTCATCTGTCTCAGTTTTATTCCCGCTACATCTTCTCTGTTTATATCTTGCATATTTCTTTCTTTCTTTCTTTCTTTCTTTCTTTCTTTCTTTCTTTCTTTCTTTCTTTCCCGTCTGTCTTATATTTGTTCATTCTTTTTCTTTTTCGTTTAGCCTTGTTTATATCTTTTTCTTTCTTTCTTTCTTTCTTTCTTTCTTTCTTTCTTTCTTTCTTTCTTTCTCATCTGTCTCAGTTTTATTCACACTCCATCTTCTCTGTTTATATCTTGCATATTTCTTTCTTTCTTTCTTTCTTTCTTTCTTACTCAATTTTATTCACACTCCATCTTCTCTATTTATATCTTCCGTCTTTTTTTCTTTCTTTCTTTTATTTGTTCATACTTTTTCTTTTTCCGTTCATCTTTGTTTATATCTTTTTCTTTCTCTCGCTCTTTCTTTCTTTCTCGCCTGTCTCGACTTTATTCACACTACATCTTCTCTGTTTATAGCTTCCGTATTTCTTTCTTTCTTTCTTTCTTTTCTTTCTTTCTTTCTTTCTTGTATACCTTTTATTCACACTTTTGTCATATATGTTGTCTTGAGAAAGGAGAGATTTACAAAAACAATTTTGGCCGCAGATTTATATTTTGGCAAGATTCGATAGCGGCACTGTGAAGAATTTTCTGTCAGAGTAAGTTACTTTCTCTTTTAATAAGACAGACATTCTTTCGATCGAAGTTGTGGCTGAACTTATTTCTATCTATGAATATTTGTAACGATTAAATAAAACGAGACCAAACCAAATCAGTATTATGCGATTCTCTCTGCGTATATGTGTGTGTGTGTGTGTGTGTGTGTGTGTGTGTGTGTGTGTGTGTGTGTGTGTGTGTGTGTGTGTGTGTGTGTTACGCATATTAAATATTGTATAGACACTTATCTGGTGTAGTAAGCATTTTTACCCAAAGCAAGGCAATAAAGCCACTAGGACGCAAGGGGGTTACTGAGTGTTAGAGAATATGAGAAAAACTACTATTAAGGAGAGAGGGCAATAAAAGAAGAAGAATTAAGAAGACAGAAGATAACGATTGACACTGCATTTAAATTTTGAAGATCAAAGGCAATAAAGCCACTAGGACGCAAGGGGTTACTGAGTGTTAGAGAATATGAGAAAAACTACTATTAAGGAGAGAGGAAAATAAAGAAGAAGAATTAAGAAGACAGAAGATAACGATTCACATTGCATTTAAATGTTTGAAGATCAAAGGCAATAAAGCCACTAGGACGCAAGGGGTTACTGAGTGTTAGAATATGGAAGGGAGAGGACAATAAAAAGAAGAAGAATTAAGAAGACAGAAGATAACGATTCACATTGCATTTAAATGTTTGAAGATCAAAGGCAATAAAGCCACTAGGACGCAAGGGGTTACTGAGTGTTAGAGAATATGAGAAAAACTAGGACAATAAAAGAAGAAGAATTAAGAAGACAGAAATAACGATTGACATTGCATTTAAATGTTTGAAGATCAAAGGCAATAAAGCCACTAGGACGCAAGGGGTTACTGAGTGTTAGAAAAGAAAACTACTATTAAGGAAGGACAATAAAGAAGAATTAAGATAACGATTGACATTTAAATGTTTGAAGATCAAAGGCAATAAAGCCACTAACTGAGTGTTAGAGAATATGAGAAAAACTATTAAGGAGAGGACAACAAAAAAAGAAGATTAAAGAAGACAGAAGATAACGACATTGCATTTAAATGTTTGAAGATCAAAGGCAAAAAAAAAAGCCACTAGGACGCAAGGGGTTAGGGAGAATATGAGAAAAACTACTAAGGAGAGGACAATAAAAGAAGAAGAATTAAGAAGACAGAAGATAACGATTGACATTACATTTAAATGTTTGAAGATCAAAGGCAATAAAGCCACTAGGACGCAAGGGGGTTACTGGTGTTAGAGAATATGAGAAAAACTACTATTAAGGAGAGGACAATAAAGAAGAAGATTTAGAAAAAGAAGATAACGATTGAATTTAAATGTTTGAAGACAATAAAGCCACTAGGACGATAACGATTGAAAAAACTATAAGGAGAGAGGACAATAAAGAAGAAGAATTTAAATGATTGAAGATCAAAGGCAATAAAGCCACTAGGACGCAAGGGGTTACTGAGTGTTAGAGAATAGGAAAAACTACTATTAAGGAGAGAGGACAATAAAGAAGAAGATTTAAGAAGACAGAAGATAACGATTGACATTGCATTTAAATGTTTAGATCAAAGCAATAAAAGCCACTAGGACGCAAGGGGTTACTGAGTGTTAGAGAAATGAAAAACTACTATTAAGGAGAGAGGACAATAAAAAAGAAGAAGAATTAAGAAGACAGAAGATAACGATTCACATTGCATTTAAATGTTTGAAGATCAAAGGCAATAAAAAGCCACTAGGACGCAAGGGGTTACTGAGTGTTAGAGAATATGAGAAAAAACTACTATTAAGGGACAATAAAGAAGAAGACGAAATAACGATTGACATTACATTTAAATGACGAAGTTGCAATAAAGCCACTAACGATTGAGAATTTGAGAAAAACTGTTAAGGAGAAGGACAATAAAAAGAAGAAATTTAAGAAACGGTTGATAACGATTGACATTTAAATGTTTGAAGACCAAAGGCAATAAAGCCACTATGGAGCAGATGAAGAAAGGAAGATGAAGAAGAAACTCGAGCTTGAGTAAATGGATTTCAACACATGGTTTAGAAGAGATAATAAAGACAAAATGTATTAAGAGGTACAAAGGACAGGAAATCGTGGAGAGACACGATCGCCAACGTCCTTAAGGGACACTGAACATAGAAGAAGAAGGAGTTTGAGTGAATGGATAACAAGAACAAGATTTGTGACAGTTAACAAAAAGACAAATTTTTTAAAGCTACAAAGGACAGGAAATTGTGGAGAGCCATGATCATCTACGACATGAATGGACTCGGTACATAGAAGAAGAAGGAGCTTGAATGAAAGGATGGCGGAACAATGTTTAGGAGAGATAACAAAAAAGACAAAATCTATTAAGAGCTACAAAGGACAAGAAATCGTGGAGAGCCATGATCGCCTACGTCATGAACGGACACGGCACATAGAAGTAGAACGAGTTTGACAGAAATTATAGCAGAACAGGGCTAAGGAAACACAAATGGAAAAATCTATTAATAACTAAACATTCTAGGTCACATAATGAGAAAAGAGGGCTTGGAAAATTTGATGCTCACAGGGCAGATTGAAGGCAAGCGGGACAGATGAAAACAACGCATAAGTTACCTAGAGAGCTTGAGAAAATGAATAGTGGGACGATATTTAGGAGAAAAAACAAAATGGAAAAATTTATAAAGATCTACAAAGGATAGGAAGTTGTGGTGAGCCATGATCATCAACGTTCTGAAAGGACACGGCACATAGAAGAAGATATTCAGGCAACTAATATTTGTCGAAAAAAGTATGATGAAATATAACCGACAGGATCTGTCTGTCTAATCGTTTTATTGTAGCTTTTTCCAATTTTTGAAATCGTTATATGTCTATATAGTGAGGGAATTGAAAATTCTACCAGGATTCATCATTGGTGGCCACAATGTTAACAGCATAAGAAACGCTTATCCCGACTATTCTGAATGGCGCCAACGAAAAAAAACACAATATTTAATGTGACCATATTCATCTAAGATGCTCTGCCCAGACGCAGTAAAACGACCTTTAAAAATAAATAAATAAACGATCACAGACGATGAACAATGGATTGTTTACAACAATGTGCAGCGAAAAAGATCTTCGTGAAAACGAAATGAGCCACCGCAGACAACTCTAAATTCCGGTCTACATACGAAGAATGTAATGCTGTTTATCTAGTTGGATTGGGAAGAGAAATAATCTTACTTTCAAGATCCTGCAAAATCAAAAGCTGGTTTCTGACAACGCTGAATGCTATCAGAAGCAGCAATAAAAATGCAGAAGAACGTTCAACCGTGTTTTATAGACTACGCAAGGGCGTTCGACAAAGTAGGGTAACCTTCACATACTCGGGAATGACATCAGAATAATCAAAAACCACCTGCCTACGGATAAAAAGAAAATGAGTCCAGCAGATATACAAAAATAGAAAGAGGCGTAAGGCAAGGATGTGTCTTCTCACCGGACTTATTCAAACTATACAGAGAGGGAATTCTGAGAGAACTAGAAATCCAACCAGGATTTATCATTGGGGGCCACAATCTTAACAACGTAAGATATGCAGATGACACACTGCTGATAACAGACACTGAAAGAAAATTACAAAACCTCCCACAAAAGGAGAGCGAGAAGAAAGGACTATGCATAAACTACAAGAAGAAAGAATGCATGGTCATTAGTAAAAGGATAGACCCAAAATGTGATCTACAGCTCGGGGACGCTAAAATCAAGCAGGCGCGGAAGTTTGAATATCTGCGAAGCGTTTTGACAGAGGACGGTAAGTGCGACACTGAGATCCGTAGGCGTATTGGGATGGCCAAGGACACATTCCAAAAGCTGGGCAGAGTATTGCGAGACAGGAGGATTTCTTTGGTAACAAAGAAAAGAGTACTGAACTTCTACGTGACATCTATCCTTCTTTACGGCATCGAATGATGGACGGTCTCCTCAAAGATGGAGAAGAGACTAGAGGGGACGGAGCTATGATTCTACAGAAGGATGCTAAGAATATCATGGACCGAACATATTGGGATGGTCAAAGACGCATTGCAAAAGCTAGGCAGAAGGATTTCTTTGGTAACAAAGAAAAGAGTACTGAGCTGCTTCGTGACATCTGTCCTCCTTTACGGCAGCGAATGTTGGACGGTCTCCTCAAAGATGAAGAAGTGTCTCGAGGCAACGGAGATATAGTTCTACAGAAGGATGCTGAGGATATTATGGGTCGAGCATCTGAGCAACGATGAGGTCTTGGAGAGGATGCAAACAAAGAGGAAGCTTATACTTAACATCAGGAAGAGGCAGCTGAAATTTCTGGGACACGTAATGAGAAAGAAGGGCTTGGAGAATCTGATGCTCACAGGTCGAATAGATGGAAAGAGAGACAAGGGAAAGCAATGTATGACATACCTAGCGGGCTTAAGCAAGTGGATGACAGAACATGGCCTGCGGAGGAGTAGCAAAGGGACAAACCCTATCGAGAGCTACAAAGGATAGGAAGAAGAGGAGGGCCATGATCGCCTACGTTCTGAAGAGACACGATATGTAAAAAGAAAGAAGTAATGGCGAAACACTAAGCCGTTAATGAAAAGACCTTGGATTTTACAATGACTCTCCAGTCGTATGCGCGTGTGTGTGCGTGTGTGGTAGTTTTATAAGCATAGCTTAGATGCGGCACAAGGCCGAAATTATGGAGTGCTCAATGACGATCGAACTGTTCAGTCGTAATTGGTCAAGCAAGACTTACTTGATAACGATTACACTACGTCAAAGTGCCTCGCGCGTGTTTGTGTGTATGTGTGTGTGTCTATTACACACGCACACATACACATACACATACACACAAAAAGTAAAAAAAGGAAACATTTCTTTCTTTTTCCTTTTCTTAATTTTCCTTTTCTTTCTTTTTTCTTTCTTTTTCTTTCTTTCTTTTTTCTTTCTTCTTTCTTTCTTTTTTCTTTCTTTCTTTCTTTCTTTCTTATTTTCTTTCTTTTTTCTTTCTTTCTTTCTTTCTTTCTTTCTTTCTTATTTTCTTTCTTTTTTCTTTCTTTCTTTCTTTCTTTCTTTCTTTCTTTCTTTCTTTCTTCAAATCTCTCACTTTCCTTAAAAGAATCCTTTCATTAAAAACTCAATCCTTCTTTTATCTTACCTCATATCTTTAACTCATATCTCATCTTACTCATCCTCTCCCCACCGCAATTATACTCACCCCCACCAATCGCCGGGGGTCCTCTTGTTTACTCTCAAGCCACAAAGCACACGTTTCAGTTTCTCTTGGAATTTAATTCCTCGACGTGTCGCAAAACTTTTGTCCTCCAGACTCGATAGAATTTTCACTTCCGATCTCAGTTGACTTGTTCACCATTTTTTTTTGGCTTGACAGGAAGTGACGCCATTATTACATTGTAGTCCCGCACACGAATTCCGAAAACGTTCTTCAGTGCCGCCAGACACTTTATTTAGTTTTGGACGAAGCTTAATAGCAATTGAATTTGAAACTCTAAAGCAATAATTATTTTCTGTATCACTACTACTACTACTACTCCTACTGCTACTATTATTATTATTATTATTATTATTATTATTATTTCTTTATTTGAGTTAGTCTTAATTAAAGGATTTCACAAAAGGACAAGTTTCATCAAGTCCCTGTAGAACAGCGGGTTAAAACGGTTTTTTTTTTTTTGGGGGGGTTAAACTGCGCCCTTTTGTCATTCCTTTCCAAGATTAACTGACTCAAAAGGTGCGTTTTTCAAATAATTTCTTTTTAATCATCTGACCCCAAGCAAGGCAATAAAGCCACCAAGATGCAACAGGTTACTGAGTGTATGAGAACGAATACAATTAAGTCAGGAGAGCAATAAAATTAAATAATTAAGAAGACAGTAATGTAACGATTGAGAATGGCACAATTGTTGAAGATCAAAGTTAGCTGTGAAGCAAGACACCGGGAGAAAGTTTCACAAGTGAGAAGTGCGATAGAAGAAACTCTTAGCATAGAACTTGCGGTTACATCTGGCTATTTCATCTGTGAAATGACGAAACCTCTCCTGCGCTTAAATTCATATAATCTAGGTACCACCATATTTATTTTACAGATACGAAACTTTGGCACAAGGCCAAAAGGAGGATGGGAAAGTCTGTCTTAGTTTAAAATTAGCCAGCCACGATTACTGACCTAAACATACCACAGTATTACTTACATCAAAACAACACATTCTTATTAACTATTTTTTTTACTACAGTCACCATAATACCGCAACGTCTCTATGAAATCCTAACTAATTCGCATATATACAATTCGTCCGTTGGGGTTGGAGATGAAAGGTAATAAAATTTCAAAATGAAACCACAATGAATATTTACAATGAATACAATTTATATACAAGAAACTAAACAAAAAAAGTATTCATAATAAAAAAAAAAAAACACAGTCCTAAATTGTGGCAGAAGAATAATTTCATGAAAGTTCATCAGTACAAGTATCATAAGGATATTTATAAAAAGGCCCAAGGAAGTGACGTTACGATGGTGGGAAAGTGACTGAACCCGAGATGACATGTCAGGACCAATAAAATTGCAGATTCTTCTTTTGAATCAAGAATATCTAAATATATACCAGGAGCCTAATACACGATGTGGCCTGCAATATTCAAAGCAAGGACGAATTGTAGACTTATAAATATGCAAGATAGATTCTTCTTTTGATTTTATCAAGAATCTATATATATATATTGCACCAGAGGCATATATTATTGAATATCTTCATTCTTTTCCATATTTGTACATATACATTTACATGGATTATTTTTTTTATAGAGGAGCAAATTTAATAGCAATAGAAATTTTTATGGATATTTAAACTTGAATACAACTACAGTAATTTCTTTTAATTCATATAAGTATTAAATAAACAGAAGTATACTTCAATAAACAAAACGTTCAACAGAATGTCAGGGTACCTCTCCTCTGGACCCCGGGGTGAGTTCCAGTGGTGGGGAAGAAATGCGGTGGAATTGCACCCTGTTTAAAAACCCCTCGATCAGAACTAAAGTGGAATTTATACATTCGATGTCTCAAAGTCTCTATAAATTTCGACTGTAAAATGATGGGACCTTGCCGCCAATCTAGTACTGCGCTTAAATTAATAAAGTCCAAGTGCCATAAGGGAAAGTATTATTTATTTTACAAGTACAAAATCGTGGCATAAGATTAAAAAGGGGGATAGGAGAAGGCTGAACTGTCTTAAACTTAGCCAGCCACGATTACTGACCCAAACATACCACAGTATTAATTACATCCAAACAACACATTCTTACTTAATATTTTTTTATTACCGTCACCATAATACCGCAACGTCTCTATGAAGTCCTAACTAGTTCCTATATGTACAATTTGACTGTTGTGGGTGGGGAATAAAAAATAATAAAATTTGAAAATGAATATTTCCAATTAATACAATTTATATACAAGAAACTAAAGAAAGTGTTCAAAATAAAAAAAATCCTTAATTGAGGCAGAAAAATATCTTTACGTAAGTTCATCAGTAAAAATATCAAAAAGATATTTATGAAGAGAGCGAAGGAAGTCACGTTACGGTGGTGGGAATGTGACTGAAGCCGAGATATGTCAGGACCAATGCTAATGCTGCTAGAAGAAAAAACATCTGTTGCTTATACCGTTCCACAAAATACTAGACTCCTCCCGACAAGTGTCAGATCAGACCAAAACATGTAGCATATTTGGTCAACTTTACAGCCCTTTTCTCACAGACGAAACATCACCAGTTTCGAGCTACTCAGTCGATATTTCTATGGTAAATATTCAAAAGAACTATATTCATTGGTTCTATCAATTCAAATCTTCACATTTAGGACCTGCAATAGATTCGAATCAACCTCTTTCCTTTTTTTCCTTTTAACATTTCAACTCAATCCAAGGCAATAAAGCCACTAGGACGCAAGAAGTTAATGTGTGTGAAAGAATACGACAAAAATATACTATTAAGGAGGAAGGAAAATAAAAGAAGAATTAAGAAGACAGAAGATAACGATTGATATTGCATTTAAATGTTGAAGATCAAAGGCAATAAAGCCACTAGGACGCAAGGGGGTTACTGAGTGTTAGAGAATATGAGAAAAACTACTATTAAGGAGAGAGGACAATAAAAGAAGAAGAATTAAGAAGACGGAAGATAACGATTGACATTGCATTTAAATGTTTGAAGATCAAAGGCAATAAAGCCACTAGGACACAAGGGGGTTACTGAGTGTTAGAGAATATGAGAAAAACTACTATTAAGGAGAGAGGACAATAAAAGAAGAAGAATTAAGAAGACAGAAGATAACGATTGACATTGCATTTAAATGTTTGAAGATCAAAGGCAATAAAGCCACTAGGACGCAAGGGGGTTACTGAGTGTTAGAGAATATGAGAAAAACTACTATTATGAGGAGAGGACGATAAAAGAAGAAGAATTAAGAAGACAGAAGATAACCATTGCATTCAGACGAACTATATTCATTAGTTCCATCATTTTCACGGCTAAGGACCTCTTTCCCGTTTTCTTTTTTATATTTCACCCCAATCAAGGCAATAAATTTTGCTGTGATGCCCGGTACATTTACAAAAGAGCACCTCGGCCTGGCGTTAGTGAGTCTGATCCTCACTGGGTGCCCCATACTTCCGGCTACGCCTAGAAAATCACAATTTAAATAAACCGATGCAGACTTCAACAAAAATAAAACGTTCAATAGAATACTAGGGTATTGTAATCAAAAAAAAAATATCTGGAATTAAAAAACAAGAAAAAATACAATATTTTCCCTCCCACTTATAAAATCCTGAAATTCCTCCTTGTGGTGGGAGAACCCCTGGTTATGAAACCCTACTTTTGCGCTTCAAAATATTCGCCATCTTCACTAGTGTAATTTACCGGGTGTAATAGTGTTGTGGTACGATCCACCTAATTTACATAGTGGAGTACCGACCATATAAATATGGGTAAGACGAGGGAGGAAAAGTAAGAAGAGATCCAATCGAGAGACTCTGCCCGACTGCGATTAAGTCAACCCATTCTACAGGAACAGTCTTCCCAAGAATATACCAAAACTAACTGTAAATATTGTGTACCTTTTCCTTGTTTCAATACATTTTGTTTACGTACATTTTGTGTTGTATTATTATTATTCCATGCTTATCCAAGCTTCAACAAATAGCAAAATTGTCCAAATCGTGTAACAGCATAATTCTCAGTCCCACAAAATGTTTAATGTCTAACAAAAAAGCACTAAACTAATTAAGGTTCTTTTTTCCAGGTTTTCAGATGAGATGTTTAGCCATCTTGACACCATTCCTCGTAAGAATCACTGAAAAACTCTATGAGTTATTCAGCTAGAAAGAGAACAGGTTAAAATCGTTTTGTGTCAACCCCACTGTCTTCCCAAATGACTAATGGGAAGAAGAAAAAGATTATTCAGACCTTCAGTAATGGCACCAACATTCAAAGTCTGGCTTCCATTTTCAAAGTCCATTCAAGAGTCATCAAGGGAATGGAGAATAAGTTTAATAAAGAGGGAACAGTAGAGGGGAAAACTGGATCAGGAGGACACAACTTAGAACTAAAGTGATCAATTAGAAAAGATCCAACTCAACTCATGAGACATTTGGTACGCGAGAGAAGAGTTTGAGTTATGAAAGTCAAAAGATCAGTAAAATAAGACTTGAAAATGAAATCGTACGTGAAACCTATGAGGTAACTTGTTACTTCAGATCAGAAACTTAGAAGGTTAAAGAGGGTGAAGATCATCTTGAATATGTTATAAAATGGTCATGGAATAAATATATATATATATATATATATATATATATATATATATTTGAACTTCCCGATCCTTAGATATGATTAATTAATGATGAACATGTCATTTTCGTCTATGATCGATTTCATCACAATTTTTCTGTTAAGTTTGGAGAGTAATTATACGTTTTTATTTCCCAAAATAGAGTCCAACTGTGTTATGAAAAGCTCGGAGAATTCCAGTAAGATATCTTTAATCATTTCAAAGATACAACGGTTCAGAGGTTAATCTAACAATCGGACAATTATTTTGCTATTACACGAT